AATAAATGATTACTATCCGGATATATTAAGCTAGAGCCAATAAAATTGCAATATGAATGGGCAAGTGAGAGATACATTAGATGATAATAAGATACTAAATATCCCACCATTTATATTACCCCCCTTCTAGTAGAATACTTCCCCAGATACTAATCAATTTATCATGGGGTAAATTGATTAATACCCGAGATATTGTATGCAGTGGTTTACGATACATAACAAAAATTTTTGAAAAAAATATAATAAATACAACTAGTTTTAATATATAATATATAATTTTTAATTGTATAATTAATTGTCAAGGTTAAAATTTATAATAAAAACATAGTAAGTGGACTCAAACTTTTGGAAGCAACTATATGTTATATAATATTACTTACAGTATATAAACCAGGATTTTTTGATCATATTGATAAAAGAAAATTATATATACAGTAAATCAATTACATAAATCATTTATAATAATATGAAGAAAAAAAAATTGAAATAAAAGGTAAAAAATTATTTGAAATGATAAATTATGATTTGAAATATTTTTATAGAGAATAATCATATATATGTTTAAGAATATTAAATGAAAAATGTGATATTGATTGCTTGGTTGCTATATTTAGATTAAAAGAAAAGTTGTAAAGATTTTAAAGTATTATAATTTATATAATTTTAAATCTTTGGTTTGAATAAATAGAAATATGAATGCAAAAAATTATGCGGATATTCTTTTAAAATTATCATTTATTTACCTTATTTAAATAATTCAGAAAGCAAAATAGATCAAAAAAATTATATGTTTCAAAATGATAATGCTAGAATTCACATTGCAAAATTTACTTTGTTAGTTTAAAGAAAATAATATCAATCAACTTTTTCGACCTTCATATAGTCCAAATTTCAATCCCATAGAACATTTATGAAATGAATTGGAATGCCGTATATGTAAGCATGTTTCTCTACCAAGTAACGAATCAGAACTATTTGATTTATTACAAGAGGAATGGTTTGATATTGATGGTTCGATTATTAAAAATCTCGTTGAAAGTATGCCCCAAACGTATCCATGCTGTAATAAATGCAAATGGATACCCCACCCGATATTAATTATTGTAAATAGTTCTTTTTTTACATAAAAATTTTTCGACTCGAATTAATATATAGATTTCACGGCTTAAAAAATCCATAATAAAAAAAAAAGGTCGCCATATGTTTATTACTAAATTCCGGTGATTTTTGCTTAAGAGAGTGAACAAAGATAAGTTAGTCATCATGTGAAAGTTATTGTAATATTGATTTGGTGGATAAATCCACATTGCGATAAACATAAATAACATGCCGATTAAATATTAATAGTTGTAATGATACAAGCAATATATTAAAAGAGAAAAATTGCATTGCAATGTAAAGTGAATACTTTGTTCCGATGATTGTATGTGCATGCCCCCAAGGCAGGGGGGAAGCTTATTCATAGAGCTTATCGATTTCACCATTTTACGTTACTATTTACGCCTTGTACATCTGGCATCTGTTTGTGTACTGCAAATCATGATTCGTTATTAACAATTTCCGTGAAAATGAATAACTCGATTACAAAATATATCAATATGTGATAACGGATTATGTCATAATACAACATTCAAGACCTTCAGGCAGATGCTTTTCAAATAAAAGAAAACCATGTTATAATAAATAGCAATAAAATAATAAATAGAAGAGCAATTATAATTAATATATAGTAAAATTATTATTAAAAATGATGAAATAATGAAACAATATATCGGTAAGAACAAAAATTATTCGACTATTATTTAGGATATTGCTATTTCACTGTGTATAAGCAAGGAGAAAAAAAAGATGAGAAAATTACATGGAAATATCATACAGAACCCATTTTTATATTCCAAGATCACCTATAACTGGGTTTCGTGCAGAAGTTTAAAAACTCGATTAATTTACTCTAATTTTTATTAATGTGATGTTTCAAATTACAAAATAAAAAAGGAACCAACCTAAATCAAGAAATAATTGAACACCAAATCTGGTAATAAAAAATTAACTACAGCAACCGCTGGTGGAAGCTTTTTGGGATTTAATATCCACATCAGGTCTCTTGTGAGCATCATGTTCTTGTTGGGCATGTGTATCAATTAATCTCTTCTTAATATCCCTGTATAATGTTAAATGAGCATACAATCCTCGGAGTGACAAATCCAAATATAATAATACTAATGTACTAACCTGGCCAAAGTAAAGAATGCTTCTTCGACATTGATGTTGGCCTTGGCACTAGTTTCCAAAAACTTGATACCAAATTCATCGGCAAGTTCCTGACCTTGTTCTTTGGTAATTGCCTGAAAAATTTTTCAAATTTCAGAAAAAGACCTCAAATACGACATAGTGATAATGATAAAAAATGAATACAAAGTACCTTCTTTTCAACCCAATCGCATTTGTTTCCAATAAGAATTTTATTAACTCCTTCACTGGCGTGTTGTTCTATATTGGAGAACCAATTTCTTATATCTTTATTTTAGAAAAAAGTAAGTAATAAGTTATGGAATATAGTGATTTAAATATTTCACAAAAGGAAATTTCTCATCTAACAAAAAAAGGATACTATTGAAAGAACGTTCGTCGGTAACATCGTATACTAAAAGTATACCCATAGCACCCCGATAATAAGCTGCATGAAACGGGATTTTTAGCGCATGATAACGAGGTAACGAGTTAAAGGCTGTATCGAGAAAAAAAAAACAAAATCCTACCGGTAGTGATAGTGCGGAAACGTTCTTGTCCAGCTGTATCCCAAATTTGAAGTTTGATTCGTTTGCCGTCTAATTCGATCGTTCGGATTTTAAAATCGATACCAATGGTAGTGATAAAGGACGGAGTGAAGGAATCATCAGAAAAACGAAGCAACAAGCAGCTTTTACCAACACCTATCCATGAAGAACGTATGAAGGTTAGTATTCTAAATCACTTGTAGAATATAAATAAAGACAAAGTTTGGGCAATGATATTTCTCGAGGAAAAAGATGAAAAGGTAAGGTGAGAAGTCTCTTTCACTGCGCTTTACATTATGATTACCCACCTGAATCTCCTATCAACAGAAGTTTTATAAGATAGTCATAAGCAGCACTTTTACTTTGGGACATGTTTTCGACAAATTTTTTTCCCAGATTATTTTTTAGAAACAAAAGAGGAAGAAGATTAAATAAATTACGCCCGTGCGACAAACGCCATAAAGGCGGGTTTCTTCGTCGCTTATGACCGCCACGTGACGTACATGGTGCATCAATTAAAAATATATTTTCTTTTTTTTCACTTTTATGGAAATTGATTGTTACAATAATATCCTGTTTCTCTTAACTTTATTTTTTTTCAGGTTCATTCATGAATTTATATTCCGCTTTGCTCAATTTGAAATTTTTTTTATATAACAAGGTTCCTCGTGATTCTGTTGAGTAACAAAATTTACGTACTGTTATCTTTTTTTTAAATGCGCTTTCTCCTTTTAAGCATAGTTCAGTTATATGAAAAAAACAAAATTCCAGTATAGTGTAAAGTATAAAACTGAATTTTTTTCTTTAAGGGAAAATGCTTTCACGCCTAGTCTTTATTGAGTTATATCAATGACAATGCATGAAAAAATTTTTATATTTAATTTATATATTATAATTTATTTTAATTATCAGAATTATTAGATAATGTTAATATAAATCATTTTATTTATTAAAAAAAATTTTTTTTAATTTACAATCATACAGTATTATTATAAGATATTTTTATTGGTATTTTTTTTTTTTTAACCTATGATCAGGCCAGCACAATGTATTTATTAATCATTATGAAAATCAAATAGAATATATAGGACAATTATATTATAGTTAAATTAAATTTTGTACTGACTTACTTGTTAATAGCTTTTAATTCTCAAAAGAGCTTTAGCCTCTAAGTATGATCTTGGGAATAATATTTTGTTCTGTAGTAGATTTTGAGTAAACACACTTCTAATTTATCTATTATTATTAGCTGATTGTTACTATTTGTTATCTTTCAAGGAACTAATTTCACAAAACTACAAAAGAGAAGAGAAAAATAAAAGAAAAAATGAATATTTAAAACTGTAAAGTACATATATATGAAAATAAAAAATAAAAAATAAGACTATTACAAATTCTCCAAAAGACTTCTGTTGAAAACCTCTTTTTATTAAGAATCAATCCTTCTAGGATATCCTTTTTATTTTTAACTATCTGAAATATTATTTATCTAGGATCTTAATTATTTTCTTATAATCATTTAAAATACTTATCGCTTACTTTTTTTTTTATCTTGATTTTGTATTCACCCATATAGATAAAAAGGGTTAATAGTAGATCTTAGGTTTTTATGTAACTTTTAGTTATATTATGTAACTTCTAATATCTTTTAACATTTATATTAGTTAAAGAAATTTTACTGGTATACATCTCCTATTATTCAAAAAGCCAGATTCTTTATAAGTTTTTTTGCCTTGTAATAATGATAAGGTTTTAATTAGTATTAGAAATCTTTATTAATTATGATATTATTATACAATATTTGAAGAAATGTATTCACAATTCTAGAAAAAGACAGTATTTTACATTTTTCTGTATTTAGATCTTATAGCCTAACTGAAATAAGAAAATAATCTTTTTTACTTACTTTGCCTAACTGAAATAATAAAAAGTTAAAGGTCTCAACTTGAACAAATAATCATTTTTTTATCACTTAGGAAATTTAATGCCTATTCTAATCGTCTCATGATTTTTTTATTTTAGTTATACTTCATTTAAAGGAATTAAAAAGTTCATACTAGTGGTTTCTCTTTCTTTCATCAATAATATCATCAAAATATATAATATAATTAGTAGAAGTTTATTTACATTCTATTACTAACATATTTTATGCTGACCAATCATCTTTAACAAAAGTTATATTAATTTTGTATTATTCCAAAGTTTAGGATCAAGTTGGGATAAGCAAAATTTTCTCAAAAAACTTTAAAAAATATACAACTTTAAGAAGGTAAAAACAATAAAAAAAAAAGTTTTAAGGTTTAAACTTTTATTTGTCTATCTATCTACTGCACAAGATCTCCAATTATACTTTTGCTTCAGGAGATAAGCTTTCAGTACATCACCATTGATTTTTTTCCTTTTAAAAATTTCTTGCCATAGGTAAAAAAAGTGTTTCTTAATTTTTCTTAATTATTGAAAGTCAAGTTTTTATTTGAAAAAAATATAAATAAGAAAGCAGAGTTGAAAAAAACTCTTAAAGTTATTCTTCAAACTGTTTTAAGAAAAGTAATAAGACTTTATTAACAAAAAGATATAAATCTTTTTTGCAAATATCTTTTTTTTATATTATTAAGGGATCAGTGAAAAAAGTTTTTTAATTTTGAGATATTTTTATTAGTTTAAGGATTATATTACTTAAAAATATAAAGAATTCATTGTACTAGTTTAAAATAAACAAAATAAAGTTTAAGTTAAATAAATATATTTAATTATAATATTTTTTAATTTTATATTATTTAAAAAACTTGGTTATTTTTTGAATAACAAATCTTTTCAATAATATTTGAATATTAAAAAAGCAGTAAAAATATATTGGGAATAAAATTTTAGAATACTATAATAAAATAAATAAATAAATTTTATATACTGGCAATTATTTTAAATCCATAATTTAAAATAGAATATTTTGTTGAAAATTGTTAAAAAAATTTAATTAAAGAAATAAAAAAAAAAGTAATATATTTATTGTATTTATATTTATTTAAAATATAACTTACTAATATTAAATATTTTTTAATTTCTAGTGTTAACAATATTTTCAAAAGTATAGAAAATTAAATTTAAGAACTATAGAAGTTATTAATACAAGAAAAATATATAATGCAATTAAGATAAAATTATTTAAACAATAATATATAGAAAATCAAAATAAACTACAACTATATTTTTTATTATGACCTATAGGTCAATAGTATAGTGGGTATACTCCCAGGTCACCATCCACGAGTTACTGGTTCAAACCCATCTAGGAATAGTTTCCGCAATATATAGGTTACATTGCACAATATGTATACTCATCACTACATGCACCCTTGTATTCACAAATAATCTATAGATTTCTATCGTCTGACCATGGTGTTAAAACTCAGGTCATCCAAGCCTTGGCCGGTTTTAGTGCTAAGAAAATCTTCGATAAAACTGTCGCCTGGAATTTGTATAGATCCAAGACAAGCCAGGAAGAATGTCGATCAGTTCAAGCCTCCTAATGGAAATGGGAAGAACATCCACCTCTTGTCAAAACTACACCCTATGGGAGATAAGGAAGACTTCGATCGTTTGTACCTGTCAAAATGTAACGGGCCATAACAATAATTAATGGGAGATCTCTATGATCGCAAAACCAACGGCTATCAAAGAGGACAGCTATTGCATAGGCTGGTGGTTAGCTTTAGCGCCATGTTGGGCAACCTGCAGGGGTAGACCCTGGGAGAAGAAATTCAAAAACAATTACTAAGATAACCAATTCAATAGGAGGAGCAATCCACTACGAAGTAATCAAGAGAAACACCTGTAAGGCCAATTTGCAAGAGTAATTAAAAATAAGGCAATGAAAGGCTATAAGCCGCCCAATTACATGACACCATTGAATCATCTGAATGTCAAGAACAGGACTGGAGATTTGCGCCATCTAAGTTTCGACTAGCCTGCAGAGGACTTAAACACAGCAGGGATCGTCCATGAAACCCATGAATATCAAGTGGTAAACAAGATCTTACTAAGGAACGTACAACACAGCCTCTTGAAGATTAACAATAAGAAGTCTATAGTGGCCTTTCAGAATACTATAGTCCCAGGCAGAGTAGGGTAACTGATGAAAGTAGTATCACTAATGTGATAAAATTTGCGAACTTTGGTTAGAATAGATAGTTAAAAAATAAGGTTATACAAATTGCTCATGTAATCTGAAAAATGTACTATTGATTTCTCAAATAAAGATTCGTCCTGTTAGTTGGACTAGTTAAAAAAAATATATATATATATATTTTATTATCTAGAATAATAAAAAAAATTAATATTTTAAAACTTTTTTCTACTTCTCCTTATTTCATGAAAATTTCTTTTTTAGGATGTTTTTTTTTTTTTTTTTCCCTTTTTTACTTTATGCAAGGCTAACAACTATATAGCAGACAAAGTTTAAGATATGTTGATATTATATAAGGCTCTGTTATCTGACTTATTGATACATGGAAGGTATTATGTCTAAGGAAGCGTGAGTGGATCTGCTCTCTATACATGACAAATATCTGAGATAAAGGAAACTGTCCTTTGAGAATAAAACACTTCTGAGGCAAGATTTCTTGTATACTTGAGTTATTATAGACAAAATACCTTTATTCTCCTTAGTTTTTCTCAACTTCTTAAACTTCTTCTATCTTTTTTTTCTTTTTCCATTTATTCTCACTTCCTTATTTTATACCCTTCCTACCAATGAACAGCTTTTTTCTTTTCCAAGGTTTTCTTCCTAGACCTTCCACTTCTTTCTTTACTGAACTATTCCATCAATCCTATAGTATATTAAACCTTTGCTCTAGTTAAATTAATGAACTTAACTCATAAAAAAGATCAAAACAAAATCTTTTACAATTGAGAGATGAATTTGTGACAAAGGAGATCATATTTTCAAAGTTCTAGATACACTTTTCTATAATCACTAGCTATTTATAAAGCCATCTAAATGAGAAAGAGATACAATAGTAAAAATATTAATTGGCAGTATTAAAAGTAGGGTTCTATTTGCTAAGGGCCTAGACCACTATTTAATATTGATCAGAGAGTAAATGGCTAGTTAAAAGCTCTTATTCTGAATACTTGATAACATCACCATTATTCAACTCAAGAGAAATGACATGACCTTCTTTTGTTTTAATCATTTCCCAAAACTTTATCAAAAACTATGATTAGCTAATCTCCTTCAAAAGATCAGCACAAGTTTATTATGTATTGTTAGACTTAAGACCTCTAGTAAGGAAAGATTCACAGTCTATACCTCAACTCAAACTGATTTCCAGGCTTAGTACAACAAAACCTGAATTCCCTAATTATATAATTAT